CAAAAGCTGCAGAAACAGAGAGAGCAAAATATTAGGTTTTTTCTTCCTCTCTCAAGATGAAGCAAGCAGCAGCAGTACGCACAGATAAATCCATAATTTACCTTTACACACTGGGCTGAGAATTACAATTAATGCTGTTGGTATGAAACTGATGAGTCCTTGCAGACGAAAATGTTTGTGTGATAAATTAACTGAGGCTCTCTTTTATGACGAACTGTGTAAAAACTGTTTCAAGTCTACATTTCTACAACTTTTCACGTGAAGTGAAGAAATGATGAGAGAGCAGCATTTGCAGCATGAGCATGAATACATTTTACATTTAAAAAAAAAAAAAACCCTATTTTGTGACTGAAGTTCCTTGGACTCTCTGTTTACCAAAAAAACGTGCCCTATATTATTTCTGTTTGCTGCTTGTGAAAGCTCCTCCTAAACTGAAATGTGTGTAATTTCTATCCCGGAGCCAAGGCAACTCAAGAAAATTTGCTCTCTCTCCTAAAAGCAAAAAATTCTAACTTCCTGGGAAATCTCTTGACCCATACCATTCTATGTTTCTGCTGTTCCCCAAACCTTATCATTTTCCCAACCAAATATAGCTAAAAAGGGTAGGAAAGCAAAAGGAAATACAAAGACTGGATCAACTGCTCAAATGCCTTATATTCTGCTGAAGGTGAGTCTTAAACAATACTACATTCAATCAGTGGCATCTTGTAATTATTACATCTCTATACCTAATGATTAGGTATAATCATTAGAAAATAGGAACATATATCAAGAATATACACCTGAATAATTTGCAGACACAGTGGGGAAGAGAGAAAGGTGAGCTCCTCAGAGGGAATCTAGGCAAGGCAACAATAGCAGCCAAAGTTCCAGAAAAATCAGATGTTTGTCCCCCTAAGCTGTCTTAGCAAAAAACAGATTTCATTTTTCATTACACAGCAGTGGAACAAAAACTGAAATTTGAAGTTGGTGCCACACCACATGGAAACACTCCCTGTGACTTCAAGCCTGGAGTCTTGCTCTGTTGGAAATTTATGGCGCAACGTTTGATTACAAAGTTTTGTTACACATCTCTTGGACTTTCATTTTTTGGTGAGGAAATAGGTACCTATTTTACATAGAGATTTCCCTCTTTGGCATGTACCTTTTGCCTTTTTTTTTTTTTTGCTCTCAGCTCTGGAGAAAAAGCACTCCAGAAGCACAATATGCTCATATTTATTATGAGAGTGGTTGAACATCATCTTCTCTGCACCTTCATATGTACTTCTGACCTCTTAAGGAATCTTACTTGGGCTAGACTAACAAGAGAAAAAAGTCAGTGAGTGAGACAGCATGGGGGACAGAAAGGGTCATAGGAAAGACCAAGAAGGGAAAAATGATAGAAAAATATAAGAAAAAAGCACTAAAGAAGCTGTGTTGAGAACCTTGTACATGCTTCAACTTAGCTTGTCTAAGACTGTACACCTAATGGTGGCTCTAAGTTAGAAGCATCATCATCCACTAATTCCTACTACAGGCAATTGAAAGAGATGGACATCTCCAGAGAATGCTTCAGAAATTACTCATACTAAGTCTTCAGACACCAACTCTCATGAAGCCTCCTGGCCATGTTTTTTTTTTTTTCCCAGTTTAAGGACAGGCCACAGTTACAACACAACAATTTAACCAGATGGAACAGGATAGAGAGAAACCAACTATGTTTCCTTAGACACCACCAGCAGATGTTTTTTGATGTGAAGCACTTAGGAAAAAAAAGTGCGCATAGACTCCATCAGCTCTTTAAACAGTGCTCCTTTGTTTTGCATTCTTACACTCACATACATTTCTATTCTCATAAAGCTGAACATACTTAATGATAAAAGTTGACCTGTCCATCTGGAGAAAGTGCTACGTAGCAATTGATAACGCAGGGCCCAGTAGAAAGCTGAAGAACCACAGAAAAATGCAATGCTACGCTGAAAAAAATGCTTAGCTGAGGAAGCAGTGGAAAAGTCCATATTCCCTAATCTTTCTGTGTTACATACAGAGTAATGTATCATCCTACTTTAAATTTCTAACATGAAAAATTGTTTTTTTGAGCTGCCACACCCTGCGTCAGTTGGACTTTGTTTCACCCCATTGCAATATTTGAATCCCTAAAGGAATAAGACAGGCTTTTCCTTTGACACCAAATACACCTTCTGGTAATGTGGCCCACAAAGGAGCACAGAGCTCATGCTAAAGTAGTCATGCTCGAGTGTGGTGCCACTTAAGGCCTCTTCAAATTTGTTTTTATTCTTGATATGGGATGCCAGATATTTAAGTATGTTTTGAACGTATTTCTCTCAACTATTGTAAATTCTTCCAGACAATTGCTCTAACTAGTCTGCAGCGAGACTGAAAGGTTCAGATGATTCGCTCTGAAGGGCTGCAGCTTCTCTGTATTTAAAAAAAAAAAAAAAAAAATACCAAACACACAAAGCTAAACATTTTCATTTTAGATGACATCTGGCTGCTTGCTGAAGCAACTATGTTATGGTCAGTTGGTCAGTTCGTTGGCTATGGTCTTGTGGTTGGAGCATACAGGTCAATAACTGCTCATGCAACAAAGCTTTTACAGTTATTAGAGATGTCATTGTAAACACTGAAACTAGCATAGATAAATTTCCTTTATGATACAATGAAATTACGCTGAGGCATTTCTCTAGGGCAAAAACCTCCAGTAGGTATGCTAAAACTTATTTTTCCTTTTTCCAAATAGCAGTATACTCATTCACTACTTGTAGAACAATCTTTCTCCTGCCTTTCACCCCATCCTATATGCCAGCCTGATATGATGGTAGAGTATATAATGCACAATCAATGTTTAAGAGAAAATTCATCAGGAAAGAAAAGCAGTTATACACTGTTCTGTCTTCTATGCTCTTTTTCCCATTCTCCTCTTCATACTAAATATCAGTAGTTTTTATTATAAGATCAGGATCATTTCATGTTTAATTAAAGTTACCAGATTGTCATACAAAAAGAACCCCACAGCATTAATAAAATGTAGTCAAACATCCAACTCAGGCTGCTCATTGGGGCACTAAAACAAACAAGACAAAAGGGATACAATATATGCTAATGCATATGAGATCTCTCAACTGCTGTGTACAGCTGAAGAAGGAAATTCCCACGTGTGAAGGCAAATGTCAGCTGCTTAAAATCCTGTCAGCTTTGAACATGGCAATAGATAGCACTCTCCACTACAGGCCTTTTTTTTTTTTTAGACCAGAGAAATGTCTTATGCATATGGGTGTATATACACAAATTAAATATAGAAATACAAATCTCAGGACAGTCACATCAACTTCTATCACAGACTACTACAGCATGGATAAATAGCCACAGCATTTCTTAAAAAGTGCATCTCACAGTAGCTAAAATCTCAGTAACTGCTCTCATTTTTCAATGTCAAAAATAGATTCATATACTTTTAAGATCTAAATTGATTTGACTGACGGTAACTGACTCGGAAGTACTACATTTATATTTAGACATCTCTTTAAACATACTCTACTGAACCAAGTCACACTTAGCTATTCATACATTAGTTCCAGAAGTGATGGGTTGTACCAACTGCTAGGATACATCACACAAAGACACCAATGAAGTTTTTCGCTGCACTGCTTCTTGCCTTTAATAATCAAGATCCAGAACTAAAGATCCTTCTGATCTTTTGGGAAGAAGAAATGGAGAAGTTCTCACTTACGCAGAAATTGAGTTTCTACATAATTTATGTTATAGGTGTCTACCTTTCAATAAACATTGGAACTCTCAGCTTATTTTACTTATAATCATATGGAAGAGAAATCTACTAATGTAAACAAAAGCTTTACATTCAAAGAATTAGTCAGGAGATCTGCAGGGACCTTCCACTCACAAAACTCATCTGTGGAGCCAGACTTACACAAACAGAAGTCTGAGAACTCCAGAAAATGCCCATTTGCAGGTAGAAATAAATAGTCATAGACTGAAGACCAAGAGACAAAAAACAGAGCTACAAATGGAAAATAAAGTTATTTGAGCTTTTAAAATTCAGAAAGGGCTGAAACAAAAGTCAGGCAAGATAATTTTTTATTCCCTAGCTTAAGAATAAACTCTTGTTTTGTTTATCTCCTGTATTTCTTTTTCTTTAAAGATGGAAATAAAAAATAAGCATTAAGTGGCCTTTTCAGCACAGAATTTCACTGAAGGAGCTCAACCAAAACTAACATCCAAAAAGTTTTTAAAATGTGTTTAAGGTAAACTACCTTTTTCTATACCTGTATCAATACAATAGCTTGGGAAACCCAACTATCTAGATTTATCATTCAAATTTTACCCTTTACAGCTTGTATGAAAAAAAAATAAATAAGGAGAAAGCAAGCCCATAAAACTAAATATCATAAACTGCTTTATAAACTAATTTTAGCAATGACACCAAAATGAAAGGAAAAAGTGAGATAAGCTTCTAGAATAGCTCTAATCTACCTTAAAATGAGTTTAGCCAAGATTTTACTGTAAACTTAATCATTCAACATTTAAAGACTTATTCTGCATATTTTCTGTGGGAAAGATACGTGGTATAGAGAACCTAATGGCCTAGAGCATTGAAAATACAGAGCATAGGTAAGCTTTGCTCCTGATTACTAACTGGGAATTTTTATATTTCTGCATTCCTTTCTCAGATTATAGACACTCCAGTAACTCTACTAATTGCATCCCACTGACATCCAATCCCTAAAAAGACAACTTATTCTATCCAGAACAACTTGGAAGATCATTTCACATCGCTCAATAAAGACAAATATTTGCCACAGGGCTGCAGTTTATGCAAAAGTTTCTCAGCTGGACTCTCAGCAGCATAAAAGCAGAACAAAGCAACAGGAAAAAAAAAAAAAAAATAGCAGCTTCTGTTACACTGTTACAGTTGGTATTACAGCTAGAAAGATTATCATGGCGAAAGAAGGAAAAGAAACAAAAGTGGAATGAATACTCACCTATATCCAAAGATCCAGATTTGCAAGAAAGACTCCACAGAGAAGAGACGTCCAGAAAGAGACCGTTCCCTTGTGGCAGTCAGCCCTTAAATGCGGGGGTCTAGGTGAATTCACAGCTGAATTACCTTCACCTGTGCTCCCAACTGACTCAGTCCTTTCCTCAGGTGATCAATCAGTGGTTCAGGCCAATGGCTTCATTTTCTTTATGTAGTTCTTCTAAGCACAGCTGATCTCCATTATTTTTCCTCTAATACAGTCCCTGCCATTCTACCAGTGACTATCATCCTCCCAGATTCTCTTAAATTCCTTGAAATTTTGTAATTTCCTGTGAAAAAAAGATTTTTTGTTGTTGTTGCTGTTACTGTTTATGCCATTTATTGAAGGTAAAGTTAAACAATTTACAAAAATTACTTCATCAACTTAAGGTCTGCTGTTATTTAAATAGCTATCAAAAAAATCAGAAAATTATAAATTCACGTTTGAATTTTAGCAAATGGCACTTCTACAGTCTGGTTCAGCAGTACTCTAACAAAGCTGACTGGTGATGAAGTTATAAAACTACAGGTGCAGGTCTGAAAATGAATACATACAAGTCATTCACACCAAGAATCACACTTTAAGAAGTTACATAGAGTCACCTCTAAGCTTTTGTTCTCTCAGTTTCTTACCACTTTTGAAATGATTGGTGCCTATTCCACAAAAAATGAGATAGCAGAAAGAATTTTTTCCTCATATAAATCAACTCAGGTAGAAACATGCTGAATGCTAATTAAGATAGGAGTCAGCCTGAAATTAAAACTAATTTCAGCTGTAACTGTAAGGAGGTCCACCACACAACTTAAAGAAGTAAAATATCCTGAGTTGGAAAGGACCCATAAGGATCATCAAGTCCATCAGCCCCACACAGGACTATGTAATAATTAAATCTGTCCTGAAAATGGAAAGCAGAACACAAGAAAGTTCCTGGATCTTTGCTCTATGCCATTAAACAGGAGCCTTCCAGGCCACAGAAACTGGGATAATCTTCTTATCATTCTACATCATTTGAGCACCTTGTGAACAGCTTGGAAAGCACAACAAAAAATGTTCTTTTTTTCCTAAGAAACTCACTCAGAATCCATTTTTAAATCACAGAATCACCAGAGTTGGAGAAGACCTCTAAGATCATTTAGTCTAACTGTCCACATATCACCAGTATTTCCTGCTAAACCATGTCCCTTGGTACAATATCTTTCTTGAACACCTCCACAGTCAGTGATTTCACCACTTTCCTGGGCAACCCATTCCTATACCGGACCACTCTTTCAGAGAAGAAGTATTTCCTAACATCCAACACGAATCTCCCCTAGAGCAACTTGAGGCCATTCCCTCTAGACTTATTGCTAGTTACAAGAGATTAAAGGCTGACCCCCACCTCACCACAACTTCACTTCAAGCAGTTCTAGAGAGCCTCCCTTCTCCAGACTAAGCAATCCCAGTTCCCTCAGCTGCTCCTTATAAGTGCTCCAGACCCTTCATTGGCTTCTCTGGACATGCTCTAGTAGGGCCTCAATGTCTATCTTGTAGTCAGGAGCCTAAAACTGAACACAGTATTCAAAGTGCACCCCCACCAGACAGAGCTGAATACAGAAGGATGATCACTGCTCCTGCTGGTAACTATTTCTGATATGAGCCAGGATGTCATTGGCCTTCTTGGCCACTTGAGCAGACTGCTGGCTCATGTTCAGCCGAGCACTGACCAACACACCCAAGTTCTTTTCCTCTATACTGTCTTCCAACCACTCTGCCCCAAGCCTGTAGTGTTGTCTGGGGTTTTTGTGGCCAAAGTGCAGGACCCTGCATTTGGTCTTGTTGAAGCTTGTCCTATTGGCCTCAGCCCAGATATCCAGCCTGTCTCAATCTTTCTGTAGGGCCTTTTTACCCTCAGGCAGATCGATCCTTCCTGCCAACTTGGCGTCGTTTGCAAACTTACAGAGGGTACACTCTAATCTCCTCCTCATCCAGATCACCAATAAAGATGTTGAACAGCATAAGCCCCCAATACCAATCCCTAGGGAACACCACCTGTGACCAGTCACCAGCTGAATTTAATTCCATTCACCACCACCTTTTGGTTCCAACCAGCCAGCAAGTTTTTTACCTACTACAGAGTGTATCTGTCCAAGCCATGGGCTGCCAGCTTCTACAGAAGAATAGTATGTGAGACAGTGTCAAGTGCTTTGCTGAAGTCTAAGCAGACTAAGTCACAGAATCACAGAATCACAGAATCACAGAATTGTAGGGGTTGGAAGGGACCTCCTGAGATCATCGAGTCCAACCCCCCTGCCAAAGCAGGTTCCCTACAGCAGGTCGCACAGGTAGGCATCCAGGCAGGTCTTGAACATCTCCAGAGAAGGAGACTCCACCACCTCCCTAGGCAGCCTGTTCCAGTGCTCCGTCACCCTCACTGTAAAGAAGTTCTTGCGCACATTGGTGCGGAACTTCCTATGCTGCAGTTTCCAGCCGTTTCCCCTTGTCCTGTCTCCACTCACCAATGAAAAGAGTCCGGCCTCGCCATTCTGCCCCCCACACCTTAGATATTTATAGACCTGGATCAGGTCCCCTCTCAGTCTCCTTTTCTCAAGGCTGAACAGACCCAGTTCACTCAGCCTTTCCTCATAGGGGAGATGCTCCAGGCCCTTCACCATCTTAGTGGCCCTCCGCTGGACTCTTTCCAAGAGATCCCTGTCTTTTTTGTACTGGGGAGCCCAGAACTGGACGCAGTACTCCAGATGAGGTCTTACCAGGGCAGAGTAGAGTCAGCAGCGTTTCCCTCATCCACAAGGTCACTCAATCAGAGAAGTTCAGGTTGCTCAAGCAGGACCTGCCTTTCATGAATACATGCTGTCCAGACCTGATCCCCTAGTTGTCCTATACAGATGCCACGTGATCTCTCTCAAGATAATCTGCTCCATAACCTTATGTGGTGCTGAGGTCAGACTGATTGACAGGCCTGTAGTTCCCCAGATCTTTGTAGACGAGAGTCGCATTGGCAAGCCTCTAACCCTCTAGGACCTCTCTGGTCAATCAGGAACACTGATGGATAGTGGAAAGTGGCTTGGTTATCACCTCTGCCAGTTCCCTCAGCACCCTCAGGTGGATTTTAGTAACAGAAGTGATACTAGCAACAGAAAATTTGAAAATTTCAGATATGTCATCAAGTTTTTAAAACAAATCTGTGGGCCTTTCTGACGAAAATTGTCAGATAATTAGCTGATTTAACAGAAGACTTATCTACTTGAGACAAATACATACAGATGGACAAGATGATTTAATCCTGATTTCAGAAGCAACTCTCACCTTTGTAGTGTAACAAAGGCTGCTCTAAACAAGATATACTGAAAGGTATTAAAAATGACAAACATACCTGTTTTAAAAAGAAACTGGAATGTATAATAATTGAGTTGTGGTTTTGTCACAAATACACATAGGTAAAAAAGATTGTGTCTGCATAATTCAATATTGAATTGCAACATTAAATGAAAGCCATTCTATTATTTAGCACATCCTATATACTTCATAAGAAATTATGAGAGTTATGAAGCATGTAGTAGACCCTTGATGTTCATCACATCAGACTAGAGGAATGATGTTATACAGCTCTGCCAAATGACAACCAAGCAACCCTGTTTCCATGAGCAATACACATGGTAAATTTTTCTCACATCACGAGTATATTCAAAAGACGGTCATGAGTGGTGTCCCCCAGGGTTCAGTACTGAGGCCACTTATATTTAGCATCTTTATTAATTATTTTGATGAGGGTATTGAGTGCACCCTCACTATGTTTGCAGATGACACCAACTTGGGAGGGAGTGTTGATCTGCCTGAGGGGAGAAGGGCGCTACAGAGGGACCTGGATAGACTGGATTGATTGCCAAGGCAAACTATGAGTTTCAATAGGGCCGAGTGTCGGGTCCTGCATTTTGGTAACAACCATCTCAGGTAACCCTAGAGGCTTGGGGAGGAGTGGCTGGAAAGCTGCCTGATGGAAAGGGACCTTGGTGTACTGATGGACAGTTGGCTGAATATGAGCCAGAAGTGTGACCAGGTGGCCAAGAAGGCCAATGGCATCCTGGCTTGTATCAGGAATGGTGTGGTAAGCAGGAGTAGGAAAGTATTCCTGTCCCTATACTCAGCATTGGTGAGGCCTCACCTCGAGTGCTGTGTTCAGTTTTGGGTACCTCAGTATAAAAAGGACATTGAGGTGCTGGAGCAGGTCCAAAGAAGGATAACAAGGCTTGTGAAGAGCCTGGAGAATATGCCCTATGAGGAGAGACTGAAGGAATTAGGGCTGTTTAGTCTGTGGAAAAGGAGGTTGAAAGGAGACCTTATTGCTCTCTTCCAATATCTGAAAGTTGCTTACAGCGAGAGAGGGGTTGGCCACTTCTCACTGGTGACAGGTGAGGGGAAATGGCCTCAAGTTGCACCAGGGTAAGTTTAGGTTGGATATCAGGGAACACTTCTTTACAGAAAGGGTTGTTAAGCACTGGAATAGGCTCCCCAGGGAGGTGGTTGAGTCACTATTCCTGGATGTGTTTAAAAACCGTTTGGATATGATACTCAGGGACATGACTTAGCAGAAAGTTGTTAGTTAGGATAGTATGGTTAGGTCGTGGTTGGACTCAATGATCTTTAAGGTCTTTTCCAACCTGAGTGATTCTATGATTCTAAGACTTTAATATCCTTCCAGATTCTCCACCACAGTGGGGAGAAAGCTAAATTCACTGCCCTCAACATTACTGACTAGCACATGGAAAAAGAAAGATTAAAAAAAGAGCGAGGAGACCTTTTCTCAGCTGAAGTCTATAAAGAAATACATGCTCTCCGCCTTCCTCAACTGATCTCAAAAAAATCCCTATAGGTATCTGTTTGACAGAGCATAAATACTATCAAAGCACAAGTAATTAAAACACTCCAAGTTTCAAATTCAACTGCCAGCTGAAACAGAGAGAGCACAGGGTTCAAGGCTGCTCACTTCCCCACACTGAAGACAGGTGAGATGAGAAGCCAGACAGACATGACGGCACTGCGTTCAATTTGAGATCACTTTCGGAAGCTACAGAATGTATCTTTCCATATTAGAACAGCTGGAGCTGAAAAGCTTTGTAAGCCAACTGCAAACGTCCACCCCTTGAGTCACCATGTGGGTAAGCAGCTCCCCACAGGTGTCCTTTGAACCTGTCTCATGTTCTGCCACCCCAGCCAAGAGCACCTCCCTTGGGACAAGCCAAGATCAAGCTAGGATATGGGCCTGGCTCAGTGGATCCCATGGCCAGGCAGGAT